GTTTCACAGGTTCATGCTTGGGACAACCTGAGAACACACCTTAGCCATGTCTTATTGCTCCAGGAGATTGGACGGCACCTCACCACCTTTCTGGTGGCTCCTTTCGTCTCTAGGTTTAGTCAGTGCATAAACAGAATAAAGCTGAGACTGTGCCAGCCTCACAGTGGGCACAGAGTGCAATAACCCCTTCTTGCTGATAACCTCTTGTCGACAAAGGACCTGTCAGATCATCTGGCAAAGCTCGACTTATTATAGTCCATCTGTCCTCAGTTTTCAGAATTCCTTCTTCTTAGTTCAGATGTCTCTGTTTCATCTGTGTTTTGCCTGTATTTTGGTCAAAGGAGCTCTGAGAACAAAAACCATAGTATGTACCTACATATTGGCCCTCAGCATCAGCAGCACTGATGTCAGATTAATTACTTGCCCACTGCAGAGTGTGTAGGTGCCTTTAATCTGAAGCTGATACGTCTGCTGGGCCAATGCTCAGTTGCAACATGACTGTGAGGGTGCAAGACAAAATAATCATTCCTGATGTGGGAGAAAAAAATTTCAGTTGACCATGATATCAATATGAACCCCGATATCAATACAGGCTGAGGGATGAAGAGATTGAGAGCAGCCCTGCGGAGAAGGACTTGGGGGTACTGGTGGATGAAAAGCTGGACATGAGACGGCAATGTGCACTTGCAGCCCAGAAAGCCAACCGAATCCTGGGCTGCATCAAAAGCAGCGTGGCCAGCAGGTCGAGGGAGGTGATTCTGCCCCTCTACTCTGCTCTGGTGAGACCTCACCTGCAGTACTGTGTCCAGCTCTGGGGCCCTCAGCACAAGAAGGACATGGACCTGTTGGAGCGGGTCCAGAGGAGGGCCACAAAAATGGTCCGAGGGCTGGAACACCTCTCCTATGAGGCCAGGCTGAGAGAGTTGGGGTTGTTCAGCCTGGAGAAGAGAAGGCTGCGGGGAGACCTTATTGCGGCCTTCCAGTACTTAAAGGGGGCCTACAGGAAGGATGGAGACAATCTTTTTAGCAAGGCCTGTTGTGACAGGACAAGGAGTAATGGTTTTAAACTAAAGGAGAGTAGATTTAGGCTGGATATAAGGAAAAAAATTTTTACAATGAGGGTGGTGAAGCACTGGAACAGGTTGCCCAGAGAGGTGGTGGAGGCCCCATCCCTGGCAACATTCAAGGTCAGGTTGGCTGGGGCTCTGAGCAACCTGATCTGGTTAAAGCTGTCCCTGCTCACTGCAGGGGGGTTGGGCTGGATGACCTCTAAAGGTCCCTTCCAACCCAAAGCATTCTAGGATTCTATGATTCTGCTTAACTTGAAGCTGAATGCAGTACTGGTTTTGGAGAACTCCTTTGCTACCCAGAGACACTGAAATATATGACGTTTAATGGCAAATGTGTTTCTGTTATAATTACAGCAGAGAAATAGTTACAGTCTAATGCTACCTTATACCTGGAGCTGGTAACAGTCCTGCACTCTGAAGATTTCCATGATTTTCATGATTTCCATTTGCAACCTGTGGTTTGATTTGTTTAAACAATGTCACATGCACCCATTTTGGATTTAAATGACTCAGGCTTTCTTTGTTCCTCTGTTTAAACATTTTGGTGACATTTTCAGCAGAGAACTGTTCGTTGTCCAAACCGAAGAAAATGTTAGAAGTGAATGAAAAGTGTGAACACTGATGAGAAAATGTTCGGGGGAAGGAGGCGTTAAGAATTGCTCATTTTTAATAATTTGGTCATTTGAAAATAACCCATGCAAAGAAGTATTTGTCTGTAGTGTAGCACCCAAGCTTGTGACATCTACCTGAGAGTAATCTCATTAATGGCACTTACAGCTACAAATAGCTTTCCAGGTCTGAAGTAGAAGTTAGGAAAGTTTAAAAGAGATGGTTTCATTCTGAGACGTGAGGGAATATGACAGGGACATCCTTCTGGCACTGATGCATTTCAGATGTAATATCTTCTGACTGGATCTACTAGTGTAAATGACCTTGACAATCTACTTAAATGATAAAATATCTCCAAGCAAAGATTGCTCCAACTTTGCTATGTTTATTTATATTACTGTACTCTTAGTTTGGCATCACACTCTTTAAATTCACTTCCAAGAAAGACTATATATATATACACTTTGCTCAAAGTGATCTACAAATACAAGTCATAAACCAGCTAACATTTTAGGAGGAAGGAATTTGGGAATGCAATTGCAAAAACCTCTATACAGTTTTACAGTAAAAGGGAGCTGTGCTGCTGGTTTTCAAAAATGTTCCTCAGTTCCATTTTGCAGTCAGGCCATTGTAAAAGAAATTGAATTTATGATTGCTTGAGGATGTCAAATGTTGTTCAAAGTCAAACTAATTCTTCTTAGTCTCATGGTGGGTGCAGTTCCACCATCTGTTATTGCTTTGCAGCAGTCAAGACCAAGGCAGCCCTGGCAGGCACTGGCAGGACAACAGAACAGACTTTCCTGTTGTATGGGTGTATCTCATTCCTACTGTTCAGTCTGAGCCCTATTGGTTTTTTAATAGGTTTATATATATAATAGATAGATATTATAAATACTTCAATGTTAGGGAAAGGTACATGAAGAAAAAGAAGGTAAGTGAAACACAGATGGCTCTAGGTATCAACCATTTTATGGCATTAAGGCTCTCTACATGCAGAAAAGAAAGTGGCTTATCCAGGCCCAGGACAAGACAACGCAGCCCAACTTCTTTCTCAGGAAGGCTGTAGCCTGCAGGAATCCTGTGCTATTCCTGTTTTCCCCAGAATTGGTTCAATTGCAGTTCTGATTTCCCAAAACAGCTGTTGGAAATCTTACAGAACTGGTTCAAAGCACTCTGCTCTACGATGATGAGCCAGGCAGTTTCCAGAAGAAAGAGACTGGCTCTGTAGCATTTCCTCCACTGCAGACGGATAAACATTGCCTGCTGTAGATGAGATAGCCACAACTCTTTTGAGACACATTAAACTCTACAACAGTTTCACTTTAGTTCTTTTGGGCCTCCTTTGGTGGGAGGAATGTCTAGAAGCAAGAAGAGACATCAGAGTTGGCATTGCCTTCTACCTGCCCCCTGCATCGGACCAGCATCCCTGGAGAATTAATGGAAGGCATTAAATCAAAATGATGGCAAACCACTGGGAGAATGAAATGCTAAATGAAAATCAATTGGGAAGGAAGAGTTGCAGAATGAAGTCCCACACTAGCGCAAGTGCACATGACATTCACAGACACAAGAATTTTCCAAGAAAATGTTACACAAGTTTTGTTTAAATTCTGGTGACCAGGTGCTGGGAAGCCTGAGTGTGTGTCCCTGCAGATAGCCTTATTTGTGGGGGTGGGCTGGCACCTTACATCAGTCAGACCTTCTGATCTAAACAAGGACTTGCAACCTGAGACACAGCTTTGTTTACAGTGACTTTTGATTAATCCGGACTCAAGAGTCATAGCAAACATTACACAGTGCTTTGTCATGCTGGATACTGGGAATGAAAGCAGAAGTTGTCCTGATGGCAGCACTGTCAGAAGGAGCACGGTGCACACAGAAGTCAGCCGAAACCCGAGCACTGAAAGAACACTACCACCAAGTATTATAAACTGAGGGGATAAAACAGTAAGCATACTTAAAATTTTGTATTACAGTCTCATGGCCACTATACTAAGAAGTTCTCGGTGTCCTACATCATACCCAATAAGTGGAGTTTACTGTGTAAAGCTGGCCTTTCCTATGTTATTTGTTACTGTAATGGGATGTGTGACAATATCAATAAAATTGCACACTGATATAAGGAAAATATTGCTTGAGGAAAAAGCGCACACAAACTTTCTGAATGCAGATGACATTTTATTATATTGACAGATTCAGAATGCTCCATACAAGCCCCGATGACAAAACCACAACACTCTGTGGGAAAACCTGCAAGAAGCACCAAAAACAAGACAGAAAGTTTACTTCTTTCTAGATTCAGCAGCTCTTCGATATTTAAGGACTGGAAATATAAAATGGTAAAGAAAGGTATGCAATACTCCTGGGTTTTCCTGCTCTGGAAAACCTGGTCAAAGAGAATGGAGAATTCTAATTAAGAGTGTAAGGGCTGGAAAACAGGGTCTGTGTATACTGATGCTCCAGCCTCACAACAGTCTGTGTATATGTGAATGGTCCAAGCCCTCAGCCCAGTTGGAGTTCCTTAAATTGGGCTGTTGAGGGTACATTCACTGTACTCAACCAGGTGCTGGAGCAGGGTCCACCTCCTCTGGGTATGGTATATACTTTAGAAAATTCAAGTTGAAGACACTGTTCTCCAGACACAGCATCATCTTGAAATAGGCATGGTAGGTTTTGATCAAACTGCATACAATGTATGCAGACTGCTTGGTAAAAAAGTGATCCTGAATTTTCTTACTAAAAAAAAAAAATTATTTGTGTTTTTCATACATTTAGTTTGTCAAACTTACTGTTAGATTATCAAAATAGGCATTAGTCTTTCACTTATGACAGTCTAGGTTGTTGGTAATACAAACACCTATATATGTCTGGGATGAAAACAAGAGGCAAGTCTTCAATGAAGAGAGCAGAAATTAAGGGATCATGGAGTTATTTTGGTTGCTTGGCCCATCTGAGGAGAAAATGGTGCAATTTCTTAATTATATTCGATAAAGAACACAAATCAAATTAAGACAGGAGGTAAGGCAGTAGATCCTGCTAACTATGAAAAAAGAAACCTTAGTGACCTGCAGACCGGCAAGAAAAATGTCTTGGGAAGATTTGTTTTGTTGTAGACTGCACACTTCAGAAGGAAATTAGGTATTAAAAACTCCTCTAAAAGAATCTGCATAAAGTCATATTGAAAGTCAGCCAAGTGCCACTGCAAGACTTAATAAACTAGTTAAGGCATGGTTCAAGATGCAAAGAAACTTATGTAAGTTTATACCTTGCATAAAGCTATACATAAGTCTTACGTAAGTGTAGAGACTTGTTCACTGCCATGTTGCTTTGATTTTGCTCCGGGATAATAACAGTCTGAAATAACGTGAGAGAGTCAATAGCTTGTTCAGTCCACAGTTCTCCATGGTCAAGAAATGTAATGGGGTAATTCCTTTTGAAAAGTTTTTGGAATGAGGTACAGGAGAATGAGCGTTTGAGTCAAAAAGCACAGTTTGGTAGGACATGAGGTGAATCACCATACAATGGGAAATGGAAGTAGTTCTGCTATAGGACTGCTTTGGTAGGCTGCAAAATATACAGAGATATTTATTTATGCTAATTCTGTGCAGAGAAGATCTGGGGATTTGCAAACATTTGCATTTTTACGTATGAATACCCTTATAGCCACAATGATAGTGCAAAATGTTCATGCTTATTCTGATGCAGGGATCAGGCCTTTGGTGATTTTTGAGGAGTACTTGTATTGTCTGACTTTAGGCACCCCACCGAGATGCCAGAGCTAATTGCCTTTTCCTTCTTACACAGCCATGGAGAGAGTTTAGCACCTCCAGGAGTGATTTAGCGGTGAAGCCGGTATCGCTCCCTTTGGGTGCCCATGCACTATAAAGGAAGCCAAAGCAAGCAGATCGCCAAATTACACATTTGGCTAGGAGGCCTGGATTTAGATGGAGTGAATCCAGCCTTCAGGCTAGAGAGAAGCGAACAAGTTACAAGCTGGGCAAATAATGTTCAGAAAATAGAGGAGTGGAAAACAAAGCACCTTCCATTCCTGAGACATTAAAGTTGTGTGCAAAGCTGAAGCAAACCCATATTAGCGCAGAAACTGCTACTACAAGAGTATAAACTAAATGAATACATGGATATTAGGTTGATATAGGCTGTATTGGTATCTAGATAGACTTTTATTGCCTGTCAACTCTATGTAAAACCACAAAGTCGAAGTCTGTGCTACCGGTAGGTGCTTTTTACAGACGTGGAAGAAGACAGCTTCCTGCGCTGAAGAGCATATGATCAAAGAAGTGGTAAGGGATGCAACATGGTGTTTCTTAATATTTTTTTCCTGTTCTTTCTTTTCCCTTACTCTCTCACGAAGGTTTTGGTGCCTTGCTGGTTTGTTGCCTGCTAATTCTGTAGTAGAAAATATTTGTTCTATCTCAGATACTGCTCTGTTCATTTTCATTTAACACTTTACCACTATTCAGTTAACAGTCACTGTACTTTCATTTCTAAAATAGGTTATTGAAAAAATATTAGCACTTAATTTTTCAGCTTACAGGTTTTTCATGTAAGTGCTGGATTGGACCCACACACAAAAAATTCAGAAGCTTTCTCTCACCTATGAGGGATTCAAAATAATTGAAGGCTGCTACACCTGTGTTAGAAAACTCACTGGTGCTTTTACTTCAGCTTCGCTCACTGTTCAATGTGGATTAAAATTTTGAATTGACCTAGAAGGAAAGAAATATTGGTGATGTGCTGTGAAAGAAAACATGCCAGTTGAAAAGTAGGGTTTGGAAGAGGATACTCTTACCCAGTGCATTGTAAATACAAAAAGGACCCCTGCCCACCACTAGTCCCTCTTCCCGACACCCAGATTGCCAGGGCCAGCAGAGATCTTTCCCTCCAGGCACCTTGAGCGTACTGCGGTTTTAGTACAGACACGTCGCAGTAAGAGCCAGCCATTCCTACTTCCTAGAGTCCAAGCAGTGACGAAAGGAGAGGAGTCTGGTAGGGAACCTACTGTTTGCTTTGGGTTGCCCAAGAAATCTTGCCCTTCTGTTAGCTGAAGCTAAAAGAGTGCTTCCTTGGATGACACAAGCCAAACACCCAGGCCTCAGCCATGGCACCAAAAATGGAGGAAAACAGGGCAGTCACTGCTCAGGCCAGCCTGGGAAGCTACCAGTGAGACAGGGTGTGCAGCCCACCACAGTGGGGATGGAGGTTTGTCAAGGTGTCCATGCCCACCTGCCCTAGGGCCAGCAAGGAACCATGGCCTGGTTCAGAGGGGTCTCTGGTGACTAAAAATGTACTTTGTTCCCTTAAAATATTAACACATGTAACTGGGGGTTTCTCACGTTCATTTCATCTGTCCAGATTACATCAAAGGTTTGGGGCTGTGTTTTGTGGAAAAAAAGGAAGATTGAATGTATTAATTAAAAAAAGATCCCTTCAAGTCCACTCAGCAAACATACATATCCTTTTCTCCCCACCTAGTATAAATCACATCCACGTGTAAAACCTAGTTTGGATAACTGGCAGGTACTTGAAGTTGTGCAGTACATGTTTTAAGAAAGCAAAGCTGTGATGTGAAATAAATACCTCACAATGTGCATTTCCAGGTTTTCCCAGACTGTATCACCTGATTCCAGATGGGGAAATTACCTGCATTAAGATCAACCGTACTGATCCCCATGAAAACCTGGCCATTAGGATTGTGGGAGGCAGTGAGACTCCTTTGGTTCACATTATTATACAGCATATTTATCGAGATGGGGTAATTGCCAGAGATGGACGATTGCTGCCTGGAGACATGATACTAAAGGTACAGTACTGTGGAGGTACAAGATAAAAGTATCCTAAGAAAGAATAAGATGATGCAAGTCAATCGTGAGATTTGCAATATTGCTTCTTTGTGTGGGTAGAATAATGCATGCGGGAAGATGTTCAGTTCCACTGCATGCTGTGACGATTTCATTCATTTCAACTGTTTTCAAGGCTTACAGATTTTTTTTTTTTCCTATTCATCACCAGGCCTCTGATTTCTACCCAAACACAGTAGATCCAAAATGCAATGTAACGCAATATACTGATGGCATTTCTGACCCAGTGGTGCAAAAAATTTTTTCTCAAAGCAGAGGCTGGGCCTTTTGCCCAGTTTGTTTCTACTGAACTGTCACCTTAAATCTCAGTTAGTGAGTTTCCATTGCCTTACATCCCACTTACACCAGGATAGGTGATAGGGGCCTGATCAAGGTTAAGCTATTTTGGCACCTAGCTCCTCTGTATGATGTATTCGGCACCGCAGAGCGCGAGACGGTGCCCACTCTATTTTGGGAGTGTTGCTCCACCAGCAGCCACAGGTGAAATCTCTAAGAACAAACTTAAGAAGCATTCAGGCATTAGCTTTTGGCTGCTACTTCTGCTCCTGTTTCTATAGAAATATATAACAGATGAACAAGAATTAGGCCAGATGGTTAAAGATCTTGTGGGCAGTGGCTTCAGCAATAGCTTTTGAATGGGAGCTGCACTCTCAGCTGCCCCAGCTACTTGGAGCTCTGCAAGGATGCTGAATTATATTAATGCTTCAATCCTTAGAAGAAAAGAGTGATCACAAAAAAAAATACTAGTTCCTTTCCTTGCTTTGATGCTTTGATGGTGTGTAGTTGGCATGCACAGGTATATGCACGTTGCAAGCCAAAGGTAAAGCTGCAGCTCACCCAGGTACACCCAAAGCAGCTTAAATCAGCTAGCTCAAATACTGGTGACAGTATGGCCAGAGATGGCAAAGAAGTCAGCATAGGTTTTCCAAATTACAGGTAAACATTTGAGCAGGCTGCTTTGTTCACTGTGGGCCATGCTGCCATGGATAGACCGGTGCTGGTACCCAGGCTAACCAGTGTGGCATTAGCTGGGATAAGGCTACAGGAGCTGGGAGTGGGGTGAATTGCAAGGTCTGGCATGCATATCTCAGGGTCATCTTCCAGGTGGGACTCTGGATGTCCATCTTCCTGCCTGCTCTGACATGCCTGGCTGGTAGCATTAGTGAGTAGTTCTCCCAGCCCTACTCACTTCTTCTACTATGTATTCCATGTGAGTAATTATTAAGGATACCGTCTTTTGAAGTTCAGAGCACCACCTGCAAGCCACCGTGCTTTTCTAGCTTTTGCTGACCCCAGTGGTAGCTGGGGACACTTGAGGCATGCCAGAGTTGTGACATGCCTTCTGCTTCATGGCTGACAGACCGTGGCTAAAGGGATTTCTCATGATCATGATGTGGGCATACTTCGCTCCGGTACTGTTTAAACATGCCTCTGGATTGTAGTTCCAGGCGGCAGCTGGATGAGTGTCACCTGGTCATGCATTTCGGGGAGGTTTTTTGTCCTGGTGCCAGCACAGAACAGCAGAGTTAATGGCACCACTGAGACAAAACTGTTCCTGCAGGGCACATCCAAACTGCAGTGTGAGGCTGTGATTGCAACATGGGCAGGCCTGGCTCAGCTCTCCCTGGCTGTGGCTGGCTGCCTGGGGATTTACCGAGGATTCCCAGCAATTTCAGCCCCGTGCTGGTGCAGCTCATGCCATTCATGGTACCCAAGATGGCAACTTAAAGTTAGTTGAGCTGTGTCTCTAGGGGTGCAGACCCCCCGTCAGACCACAGTGGGGACAGCCCCGTCGTGCCCACACAGGCAGTCTGCAAAACCAAGCTCCAGTCGAATGCTTTTGTCCGTGCTGGGGAACATTTCTGTTGCAGTTTGGAGATGTTTCTTAATATTTAAATGGTTCAACCTGTGCAATGTAAAACTACATGGAAATAACTTGTCTGATTCAGGTTTTCCAGCCAGCAACGAATTACAACCTTGCAACTGGTTTTCATTTAGCAGTGATAAAGTGCAATGCCTAGTCACTCTTGCACACACGGACATGACTGGATTGACTGGAAGCTCTTTTTTCCTCTTTCTTTTCCCAGCCAAATTAAAGAAGGGGCAGTCATGCAGTTTTACTGCCAACTGAGCTAAATTTTACCTGGAAAACACTGAGAAACGTAAAAAGCCCAATTCTCTGGTGTGGTATATCAGCATAATTGCTAGTAAATATCCAGGACATTTAAACTTCTACTTGAGGCTCTTTTCTTCATTGTAATTAGAGATTCATTAGTGGGGAACTTACTTTTTACTGTACATAGGACAGCTGAGAGATAATGAAGAAGACAAACAGAAGGAAATTGGTGGGAGTGAAAGGAAAGGATGGCAAGGCAGTTTGAAATCAGAAGCTAGCAGAATAAAACTAAGATATATGAAAAGATATTGGAGCTTGGGAAAAAGCAATAATAAAGCTAAAAAATAACATGTATGTCTGGAGACTATCAGGGAGAAAGGGGAAAAAAGAGGCAGAAAGTGTCTGCACAGCACGTCCTTTTCTTGGGGGGAAGACTGTTCTGCACCGCAAACTTGGCCTCCCGTGTGACACGGTTTGAAATAGCACACGTCACTTCGTATGAAGACATCTGTGTAAATAGATCTGCCCTCTCCAGTGCCAGTTCAGATTAGACAGTCTTTCTGCTGCTGATTTACGCATCTCTCTTCCAGGTAAATGGCATGGACATCAAAAATGTGCCTCACAACTATGCCCTGTCAATCCTGAAGCAACCCTGCCACGTGCTCCGACTGATGGTGCTCCGAGAGCAGAGGTACCGATGCCGAAACAGCGGACTTTCCCTTGATGCTCACTGTAGGGACGACAGTTTCCATGTTGTGCTAAACAAAAGCAGTCCAGACGAGCAGCTGGGAATAAAGCTGGTCCGCAAGGCCGATGAACCAGGGGTATTTATTTTCAACTTGCTGGAAGGTGGCGTGGCTGCCCGCGATGGACAGCTTCAGGAGAACGACCGGGTATTGGCCATCAATGGGCACGACCATCGGTATGGCAGTCCAGAGAGCGCAGCCCAGCTGATACAGGTTTGTCACCACCACTTTGACCCCGGTTTCTGAACTTTGCAAAAGCCAGGCAGTGTATTTTCACCGACCATTGCAAAGCAGGGGCCAAACTTAAGGCACGTATATTTGGAGGAGGGAAGGGGGCGTGTCACGCTCGGATGGGAATTTACACCTATAAAAGCTCCTTGGTTTCACTGTGGGTACAAGGGTGAATATGAGCATGGACTCTCGTGGTGATGCCTGCTACCATCAGGCTTTGTAATCTACAGATCAGTGTAAACGTCCATATACTCTGTGCATCACCAAAGAGTGATGCCATCTGCCAAAAGGCAGGCCAGCCTGCACCCTGGGAGCACTGGGTCCAGCTGGGTCCTGACCCCTCCAGCTCAGAAGGAGCCGCAGTGCTTCCTGATGCAGCCCTGGAGCAAACCAGAGCAGCCCAAGGCAATGGACGGCATGTTTCAGGATGAACATCGTCCTCCCAGACTCAGTGATTTCCCATGGGCGTGTTTTATGACTGAAGGTACTCCATACCTTGTAGATATTTATTACCTAAATCTAGCATATGGAAATCCAGATGTTTTGGGGAAAATAGATCTGTAGCTGTAGCTTTTATAAATCTCTATTTAGATACACATGGAGAATTAAAGGGGTGCCTCTGCAAAAGCACTAAACACTCTTACCACAAAACTGTCAGAAAAAAACCCCTGTGCCTTTCTCAGCTACAAAATCAGTCAGCTTCTGCCTAATTTACCCTCCAGAACCATTTTCATTTGTTTTCTTTCTTTACAGCCTATGTTTTTAGAAAACTTCAACATAAAAAGCAAAACCAAGAATCTTTTGTTGCTTTTATCTCAGATTTATAGCAGTTGTTATACTTGTGCAATTTTACATTTAATTTGGAGGCATGCAGTGTGTTCACGTATTGAAGAATTTCATGTGCCTTATTAACAAGATGTCAAATCAAGCTGGCTTCTTCCCCTTTCTGACAGGTATAATCAGGGTAACATGAGTAGGACTGAAAGAAGCATTCGAATCCATGCATTTTGTGGAAAAGATTCCTCCTTTAGCATAGGTTCACAGTTGGCTGTCGCCAAGTTTTATTGAGAAGTTTATAGTATAGGTAAAGAAAATGGCGTCCCTCTGCATAATGCCAGTTGTTGAAAGTCTGGACCAGCATATTTCTGGATTACTTTATGGAGCTCGCTAACTGGGAGCAGAAGGCAGCACAAGAAGCAGGGAGGGGGGGGTTAAATTCTCTGAGGGGAACAAGTCTGGAATGAAAACCTTTCTAAAAAATTGGTATTCTTGGAACAGTTCTTTATGGCTACAAAACAAGGCAACAGTGCTTCATAAGCAAAAAACACATGCAGCCTAGAGATGAAATGGAAAAAATGACTAATGAGACCATTCACACACAACTGTTTAAAAACGCAACTCAAGCTCTTATTGGGTTCCAAAGAGTGGATGTTATTTATAATAATGCTTGAAATGCACACAAGTCCCTGGGAATTTAAACAACATGCCCATCAAAGGGGAGATTCAGGTTTCCAAACAGCCAGGATTACATTGCATTGATGTGAGCTCTATGAATCACATTTGTCTAACGCAAAATTCCCAGAACCTGTGTCTTTTTCGTTATGTTTTTTCATCAATTATCATTTGCCTATCCTGTTTCCATGTTATGCCAGAGAAAAACTATTATACTGAAGCCACAAGTGTTTTGAATTTGCTTCTTACACGAAGGGATGTTTTACTGTGTCCTCTGATTTCTCAACAGTATCCTGCCTGTTGAGACCTCAGTGTGTGTCACTCACAGTACATTGAAGTCTTCAAATTAATGGTGGTGGAAGCTTCAAATACACCATTGGTTTCTTTAAAAACAGAACTAACATTCACTAAAAGGTGGTGGTGGCTTGTTAGGCCAAGCGCAGCTGGGAGAACATCAGATTTCTGTGGGATCTGATTAGTTTTGACTTCTAAATAATGAATAATTGAGATGAATCTGATTCTTGAGGCCTTTAGCAATTATACATTAGCATATGTGAAGCAGTTGTCAATCAGTATATTAGGTGCCTGGCTGTTTATAAGCTCAGTCACAAGAACTGAAATGAAGAAAACACATAAGTGCTAATTAGGAACGTGCACACATCGTAATGCCTGGGAGTTTGCTGCTTCTCATTTGTCGCGTCATCTTTAGTCATGGCCTTCTGTCAGATGCGGCACTCTTAATCTAAATAACGTGACATTCCACATCTGTTTTCCATGGGAGCGACAAGAAAAGGAACAAGGTAACAGATCAGTGGGCGCTTGTGTGAGCACATCAAGCGAAGCCGCATGGGTTGAGCCAGCCTTTACTGCCCCCAGATGTTCGCCCTCCTCTCTCCCTCTTTCCCCCGCAGCTGCGACGGGCGCACGACCCCCTCTCCATCACGACAACCGCCGCCGGCAGGAAGCAGGTCGTGGTGTGGAGCACATCCGTGCTCCATCGTCCTTGCGAGAGATGGGGCAGCTTCTGCCGAGAGCAGCACTGCTGCCTTTTTTTTAAGATGCAATTGCCTCCTAGGTGCTCAGCAGTTGTCACCGTGTCTCTGCCACCCTGCTTGATTTGCTTTGGCTGTAACACAAATTTTAATTGTAGTAGATTTTTTCAGCTATTACTTGCATTCAGTCTCAAAGCTAATCTCATTTCTTTAATTCTTGCTTCAGCATAAAAAACAGAGAAGGAATTGTGGGAAAAACAAGTGGTCAGAGGGAAGGAGGGAGGGATCAGAATGAAGTAGTAGTTAATATTCTGACCAGTAGAAATGTTAATGAGTTTTTATATGGAAGTATGTAAATACAAAATCTGGTCTTGTTGTTTGGATAACTTTTTAAAACACTCTGGACTTCTGAGAAATTATTCAACTTGACTGACCTGGAGACAAATGTGACATTGCAATAGAGACGCTTGTTGAACTTTTGCTAGTTGTTCTATGAGAATTAATCACATTTACAACCTTCCTCTAAATAACCAACTTTGAGACTAGCCATGTGGCAGCAGATGAGTTTCAAACAGAAGTTGCGTAAGTTGCAAGTTGTTTGTTTTAGAGAAAACTGGATTTTTGTGGGGCCATATACCCTTAGGAGGTTTAGTCTTGTATTGCTCAGTTCCATCTCAATCATATTACAAACTAGGGACCAGGGTGGTTTCCTTTCTCCTGAGATACAGCATTCTGCTTTTGGGTACCAGTTGAGTCCAGAGTCCAGGAATTAATATTCCATGAAAACAGACCTGGTAAAAATACTAGAAAATTATTCTGAAATATGTGTGTACGTATCAAATGATACATTGTGAAGCTGTGGAGATTTGAGCTGCTGGTGAAAAAAACTAGCAACCCCCAAGATATTGAGAAAGTAAAAAAGAAGTGCACATTTTTTACTGAGATACCACCTCCCTTGGAAATAGCACAGCCTGAAAATGCAGATTTCAGGCTTGAAGCTGGAGGTTTAGGAGAGGTAGGTTGCTTCTTTTTAACTATAGTGACATTCCACAAAAGCATTTTTTAACTCTCAGCTACTACTATTGAATCCAGCTCCAGAAAAGACAAATCAAACTATAAAAACAAAAATCCCAGGGGCCTCCTCTGGCTTCTGTTAATTGTCTGCGGGAGATTTGATTTCAATAGCGCAACTGGATCCGGGTTTGGTTTCCAGCTGCTTGTTCAACGCCAGCTTTCCTTGGAGCTTCTCCCCAGCAAGCAGGGCACGTCAGCGTGCCAGCAAGCGAGCCTGGAGGTCTGATGCCCCCCGGGGCTGCGGCACCAGCAAGCACCGCTACTGCAGCCCCAGGGGGATCAGACCTCCAGCCATGCTCGTGGGGGGCTCCACATTAGATACCGAGCAGTTCCTCAGTGATAACCTGCGAGCAAGGAGGCAGGAGTCCCTCTGGAGACCGGCCCTTAAGAGCCCCTCCTGCCTGCCATGACACCAGGGTCTTTAGCTTGGAGAGAAAGAGATTAGAGGATTAGTTTTGCTATCATCTTCTGAGTATACTTCTGTAGCATTGAGGCTATTTCTACACTTCAGTTCAGTGTGTTGGTTTGCCCTTATGGCAGATATCTATGATATACCCAGCTAAACCCCACTCCCTCTCAGCTCTATCTTTGCAACGCTGTTGTCTTGAACAGATTCATGTGAACCTCACTGAGGGAAGAATGAAGCCATTGGCTTCTAGGGCAACAGTGTTGATTCAGTAGGACAGAAAAAATTCACCCGTACACAGAATTAATAACACTAATATCAGGCACACACGGCACACCTTAAAAATAATGAGCAAACATAACTCAGGAGAAGCTTTGCAGCATCTCTCAGGCACAGAAGTATTGTGACTGTGTTGTGCAAAAAGGTCCAGAAGCATTGTGAGCTTATTTTGGGTTAATTGTTTTTGCAGTTCCTGTTCCTAGAGTGAGAGTTTGGGCTAGTTTCCCATCCTAAACTCCATTACTCTGTGTGCTTGCTTGTGTCCTCCCTCTTTCTCTGTACTCTGGCGCAGTAGGATTTTACTTCTCAAAATGGTTGCACATCTTTCTTTAAGCTGCCTTACATTTGTCATGCTCATTGCATGCAGGTGGACTCAGTTACATCATTTATTCCCCATTTTCACCAACCAAGGCTTGAGCACATCCCTCGTTACAGGGTTAATTGGATCTCTTTCAGAGTTCCCGTCTGGCAGCGGCAGCTCTGGTTGTCTGTCTGTCTCCCATGGCAGGCACATTGCTGCTCTGTAGTGCTGTATGCAGGTGTGTGCGAGAGCTGGTCACTGTGGTGGATCACCACTTCCAGCCAAATTTGGGGCAGATAGGTAGGGTTTTTTGGAGTTAACACCAAATTTTCAAGAGAAGTATTAAGTAGCTGGCAGTAAATTTTTATGGATTTTATTGACCTGAACTGATGCTACTGTTTTATGTCATTGCAACCACATTAGTGGGAAATCCAAACCACACTTAAATAGGACCCGCGTTTCGTGAATCCTCTGGGGCTGAAGTGCAGGGGTTTATTGCGCTGGGGCAGTGGGATTCATGCTGTACCTTCTCCCGCAGGCCAGCGAGAAGCAGGTTCACTTCATCGTATCACGGCAGACCAGGCAGCAGACCCCTGACATCTTGCAGGAGACGGGCTGGAGTTACAGCAGCGGCAGCCCCCAGCCCTGTCCTGCCAAGAGAAACAACCCTGGCAAGGTGAGGGCATGGGCGCTCGCGTGGTTTCTCTGCTGTCCGTGGGACAGGGGACTGGGAGGGCAGCTAGCATTTTAGTGTCTCAGGGTGTTATCTCTGGTTTCTGTCACCAGAAGAAGCATGCCTTATTTTGCAATGGAAATGTAAAACCTGTGCTCCTCATTATTTATACACTGCTTCTGCCCTGACTCCATCTGGGGTGGGGAGGGAAGAAGGCAGCGAAGGGCAGTGGTGGGGCAGGGGGCTGGCGTGCAACGCGGCATCCTGGCCACGGGCACGGTCCTGGCCGTGGGTGCGAGCCAGCACAGGGCAATGCGCTCCAACAAAAATAAGAGGCTTACCTGAAGTTTCTCCATCTGCAGCGAAGGCTTCAGGCAAAAAGCTTTCATACGCTGGCCTGAGAGATTCCCATAAGCTGCTTGAAAATTATGGTAATTATTAATCTGTTGCTCATTTCTTAAGACACCCATGCTCTGACCTGGCTGGCAGTTCAGCAGCAGACGTTGGCTGCAGCCTCCACGGCCACTGTAAGCATGCAGTCTTTCTGTGGAACTTTGGACCCAAAACATGTTGGTTCTGCTCTGGCAGCACCTGACACTTGCACAGGATTGGGGCAAGGAGCAACTGCCTTGCCCAGATATGGCTCTGGTTACCGAACTATCCCTCCAGCTGCTCCTCTGTACCCGGTTACATCCTGCATTTAGTGCATTTAGACTTGCAGTATGGGCTCTATAAGGCAGAGAGACTCTCATGGTCAAATATATGAGGTTTTAAAGCAGAAACCAATGCAGCAAGGGCTTTGAAAATACATTTTCTGAGTTTACTCAATGTTATTCTTTGCATATAGACAGAACAAGGTATGTCCTTGCAGGAGTTGAATTTGTTTATTTCACTAAATTTAAAGTCATGTGCCTCACTAATTTACATTAATCGCTCTGAGTGTCACCATTTATGCAAATCCTTGCGAGCTGGTCCCCTGGTCACCCATGCCAGGGGTGCAGCAGGGAGGTGGACAGGCAGGGCTGGTTTAAATCCATCCTGCCTGATGGGCAGCCAGATGTGTCCTTAAAGGGACCTTTGGACTGAACCAGCTGTCAGATTGGGTGCACAGCTGTCAGCCAGGAGACAAGCCTAGCTCTGCATTTTACAAATGCTCAGAGACCCTTTTTTTTTTCTTTTCAGATTTTTTTTTAAACTACATTATTCAGTGTTTTTATGTGTAAAAAATATACTAGTGTTTATTTATCTATTTTTAGTTTTCCTTTTCCACAAAGGCACAATCACAACCCTTGGTAGGTGAGACTGGATCAGCAGGAGTTAAACCAGAGAGCAGAGTCAATGCTCGGTAGCTACTACCCAGTAGTAAATAGTGCCCAACTAATCATGCATCTGCAAGGCATTACTTCCTAATGAAGTAATGATTTCCTTAGGGAGATATGTGTAGGACAGCAATTAGCTTGTGTTGCTACTGTATGATTTCTAGTGAAGCTCCAAGCACCTGCTAGCTCTACCACATTGGTCTGATTAATTGATACCACATGGGATTATTTGGGAACATGACTTGTCTTCCATAAACTACTCTAGATCCTCATTTTCTCTTCCTGTACTGAGAGGTATTAGACAGGAATTTGTGGTAAATCCAACATCATTTTGGGTAGCTGTGAGATTGAAGGGCCAATGCTGACCTTGCAACAGTCCTTTAAAGACTAATGAATCATCTTTTGTTGGATAGGTCACGGCTTTTAGGAGGATTTCCAGTTTGCCACAAGAGGCGGGCACTACAAAAGCGCATGAGTGGGCTTGCTGCTGTGGGCTTCTGTCCACCATTTGGGCACTTTCCAGGGAAGATCACAGCCAAAAAAAGAAAATTCTGAGCTCTTCCTAGCTGTCTTTAGCTTTGTGTGTGTAGTGGAGGGCTTATATCAGAGAAAATGCTCTGGCAATAGATCAGGAGATCAGTACAGCCGGCGGACACGATGAGCTTCAGGCACTGCAGGCTTTTGGTCTGATACAATCATTACTGGAGTGTTATTTGCCCTTTTATAGGGTGTGAGTGTGTCAGTTTGAATTTCTCATGCTTTTTTGCTGAAGGTTTAACCGAACATCATTTGCAATTCAAGATCTTTAAACTTCAGGCTTTGGCAGACTTAAAATGTTACTTGTTTTTAAATAGACATTAGTGCAGGAGTAATGTTTGCAAGCCTAGGCCCTGTCCAGTGTCCTAATGCAGTGCACACTCCTGCTCAAAACCAAGGCAACGCCTGTTGGCTGGACTTTATTGTCAAGAGAGTTTCCTGTGTGTGCGTGGTTTGATGAGTCTGCTACCTGCTGCCATCAGTGTGATTGCTTTATTATGTGTGGTTGATAGAGAGATTACTAACTGACTTGAATTCTCTTAATTTTAAGATGGTTTTTGTCCCCTGAGCTTACTGTAGGACATGATATTAGCATGTCAGGAATGCTCTCTTTGAGGTAAGCAGCTCTCACTGTAGAGCACATATGTAAATGTGGGCTGAAATCTGCTGTCAAGCCTTGGCTGTATTCAGCACCAGGAATAAACTCTAGCTTCCAGCAGCCTTCTTGCTCGTACGACGAGTCAGGAAACACTTTTGGCCAAGCTGTTGCCCTCATGACAGCCTGCCTGCATCTGGAAAGCGTGAGGAGGCAGCTCTCTTTCAGGCCGATGCCAATGGCAATCAGCCACGCAGCCAACAAGGCACTGGAGAAAGAGGAGGACGGTCTGTAGTGACCACATCCTTCTCTGGCGGCAGTGATGCTGGGTGTATGGTGTGTAAGGAGATTGGTCCTGCACCGGCTCTCAACGAGCTCTTTGCCTATACACGGAGGTAGGGGAGGCACAGCCCAAACTGTTCTGGCTGCTGCCTGGGTTCAGAAAAGAGAAGATGTCAGAAACACTTTCTTGTGCAACTGAGGTTGTTAAGCCAGGCTGTAACGCATAAACAGGCCAGACTCGATTTCTTTGAAGTCAGTGGGAGCTTTGCCATTAATTAAATAGCATTTGTTTTTAATTGGACCTCTTTTCTTACTCCTTTATGACAAATTGTCTAGTACTTAAAACAAATCTGTCACCCCGTTGCTTGAGCAGGCAATGTTTTCTGACCGTACGAGCAGGTTAGCCTTCAGGTGATGTACATTTTCCAAACAGACACAGCTACATCTTTTGCCTGCAAGACACGTGTCATGGCTTTGATGTTGTGATAATCTGCTGTAAATATTTATTTTCCAGTAAATATACAGAAAAGAAAAAAAAATTAAAAAGAGGAGAAGATGAACTGTTATGTTTTTCTTCTCCTGACCTCTGAGGTCACTTCAAAATGACAGAGAAGGACAATTGTTTAGAAGAGAATGCATTGAAATGCAGTCACTGATAAACATTGCCTTTTAACTAGCTTACTCATTATCAGTTGTACCTCCAAGAAAGCTCTACGTGTGTTTACTAAGAAAGGCTTTACTTTCCTTTCATCACTGCCTTTGTCTTAGCTGAGTTACTCCAATTCCTTTCTATCTGCAACCATGTGAAAAATGGCATGTGGAAGAGTAGCTTCAAAGGAAAACTGGTCCTACATGGTTGAGCGTACAAGTACCAGTACTTTATGATTCTTCATTGAAATGTAACAGGACAACATTTTACCAAGCACTGCTTTGAAATCTGCTTCTCTCTGTGCTGATTCCTCAAAAATAGAGCACTAGCTGGTTTGTCAGCTGGTTTTGGTGTCAGAGACATGATGGACATTGCAGAAGCAACAGGATTGCTCTGAACACTCAGAGCTGCAAGTCTAATTCCAATTTCATGATCTTCTACAAAATTTCAGACTGCGTTTTTGTGAAAATTAGCAGTACCCCTATCCTTCATGCTTCAGTAAGTGGCCTTTTCCTGATGGAAAGCCATTCCTTTCCAAGGGAAAAAGGACAATGTTTTTGCACAAACATGGATGAAACATTAAGTTTAGTTTGCACAAAGATGGAACTACTATGTTTAAAGCATTTACACCTTAAAGACAAAGGTGAAAGGTTAAAATTATCTGGACTAGAACATGTATATTTTTTTAAAAGGGAATGTTTTAAAATCCTCAGAAATGTTTAGGTTCCTTTGCAAGCCATAAGCCCAATTACTCTGACACAGTGCCTGTGTTCTGTATAGATCAGGTGTGATATGTCCAAACAACCATACCAGTTTGGGTTTTGTCCTGGTGACTAAGAGAAGACCTTTTCCACTGAGCTCTTTGCCTTTTTGTTCCTGGAGCTCTGTGGCAGCCACTGTTCTTCTGCTCAAGCATCTAGGGATCCTTTGCTAAGCTGCTAAAAGGTTCTGGGTTTTGTTGTCGGTATGGCATCACAGAAATCCTGATGCAGAGTTAATGCATACCTTTAAAAAAAACACAAAACAAAGGTATAGCTTGCCCTAGTCCCATAAAAACTTCTTGCCGCTGTCTTCCTTCATCCATCGTCATCACTGCGGGAGCAGACAGGGAGTCGCCTGCTCCACTTTCTGTGCTGCTGGCCCAGGAATCGCGGTGGAATGTCTTTGTGGGATCTCGGATTTCTAAGAAGAGGTTAATGTGGCTCTAAATGAGTTTTATAGAATTTATTTTTGCATATTATATATGTGAGGTCACATTCATGAATGAGAAGGTTGGGGGTTTTGTTAATACACATTTGAAATGTATATAGCAGCATGCTGTTATATCTACATATGAACCTGGAGTGTATGGTGGTGTTCCTGCAAGAGGGGCTGAGATCGTCGGGAGCTGTTGCCAGGAGTACAGCTTATGAAATACTTAAGGAAATCAAAGCAATTAACATTTAAATCCAGATTTTCTGGAGAAGCATCCTTGTCTCTTGAACCCTTCTGTAAGGGCTGCATGCATTGTAAATGTGACATTCGGTTCACAGGTTTCGTTGGAGCTTGTGTTGCCTCTCCATCCCGAGGCCGCCTGTGAGTTTGTTTCACCCTCGCTTGTACACTAGTTATTGCATGACCAGTGGGGCGTGTGTGTAACTTTTCCTGTTCAGGGGGAGGAATAAAGGGATGACTGTCCTCAGACAGTAGAGGTGGCTGTCCCAAAGTCACCTTTTAAGCACAAGCACTAGGAAGAGCACCCTGGAAGCTGCTGGCTCTTCACTCTGTAAAAGTCCTTCTGTTTTCCTGAACAGAAACACATCTTCTTCGAGTGTATTCCCACCAGTAACTTATACAGAAACACAGAAATCTGGAAGAGCAAATGAAGTGTCTATCTTCTAATCTGTCCCCAAGAGTTTTATTCCTTTAACCCAAGCGGACCATTTCTCATTAACTATACAGATGAGGTTCAGACTGCAAGCAGCAAGATAAGAATCGTGACCTGATAGTCAAAGATATGAGGACAGCTAGTGATATTAAGATATCATAAGATATCAAGAACACTTTTTTTTTTAAATTGGATTCCTTGTTTACATGTCAAAGACCTGCTTCTATTGTCTCAACACTAAAACACTTCTGATTTTGGCGGGAGCAGTGCCTGACTTTAGCTATTAAAGCACGGATTATCTTGGCGGTAGCTCTGACTCTGCGGATGCCTAAGCCCTGGAAAAAGTCATGCCTGCTATCTGGCCAGGCGTAGCAGGCAGCTGTGAAGTGCTTTGGTATTCCCTCAATGAATATTCATTTCAGTAGAAAAAGCCTAAGATGTCAGGGATGTCCCCACGCCCACTGTGTTTGTTGTTGCTGTTTTCTCCATCACAGAGCACCCTTCACGCCGTCACCTGTCATGAGAAGGTGGTGGATGTCTGGAAAGATCACACAGAATCGCTGGGAATGACTGTAGCAGGCGGAGCATCTAACCGGGAATGGGATTTGCCTATCTATGTGATAAGTGTCGAACCTGGGGGAGTTATCAGCAGAGACAGCAGGATAAAAACAGGTAAAAAGAGGGGATTTTGAAAGCCTGCTTTAATTCAAAGTCTTCCTTTGAAAAACAGAGGGATAGTGAAAGAGCATCACACCCTGACATCTTCAGCCATCCCACAGATTTGGGGCTGTGTGAGATTAGAGGGTCTCAAGTCAGCTACCAGAAAAGGTATAATATGCAGCCATCACCATCTCTGTGAAGTGGGATGTAGGCATATTCTGGTAGGAAAAAAAAATAATTAGTTTTTCACGGGAAAATAAGCTTGCACCACCATCTCCTAACTACTGAAATCTTCATTGTGCAACCTTCATGGGTTTTTATTGTAAATTTTTGTGCTTGTTTGTCATATCATTCATGGCTTTGACAGAAATATAAAGGAGCAGAATTCCCATCATATATGAGGCACTGTTAGTGCCTTGTGGCTCAATATCACATCTGGAAATTTTGGCTTAGTAACTCCATTTGGGTCTTGATGTAACAGAGTGATAAAGTTAATAGCTTTGCCCCCTCTGCATAAACAAGCCTTTAGAGTAAGATGAGGTGCATATTTTGTCAGTGGATTTTGCAGGAATAGCTAGGCAGTAGAGGAATGGTGAAACTCTCAGTTTTCAGGATGTTACATCTCCACGAGCCAAGTACCTCAGTACCCTGCATCCAGCAACCACACAGCTCCCTGTCCTCTTGCCCTTCATCCCCTATGCTCAGCTTCAGCCCAGTCACTGCCCAGAAGCTGGAGGGAAGTGAAGGCACCCAAAAGTGGGGCAGAATAGCTGCAGAACAGCCGAGCCCCATGAGCCTGGGTTACAGTGGCCGGCACTGGCACGCCTAGGAACCTCCCCTTTGCGGGAGATATGGCTGCTCATCAAAACCCATGTCAGAACATGACAACAGGAGCAAACCAGCAGGTTTCCCCTTTCCTCCTGCTGGGAAATGACTGCCTCTCAGTGGGATACATTTTCCAAAAAATATTCATCATAAGGCAGCATGGAAAATTCAGCCTAGTTAATTCGATAAAATTAGAAACAAATGAATACGTGATGTTAGAAGAGCGCCATAAGCCTCCATGGTTTAGAGCAGCCCTTAGGCTGTTGTCTGTCTCATCGGGGCAGACCAGAAGAAGAGGTTAATGTTCACGTCGCGCTGCCTGGACTGCCAGTGAATACAGCCCCTGCCTGGAGGAGCATGCAGGCGAAGCGCAGAGAGCACCCAGGGAAGCCCTGGTGTTGGAGTGTGCCGTGGAGGGTGGTGGAGTGCTTGGCACCATGGCCGCTTGCATGACATTAATGATGTCTTTATTGTTCTCCCGGTAGTAATTGAGGTCATATTTGCATTTTTCTCCGAAGCTGCTGTGCCTACATTATAAATAAGGCATACAGAAAGACATTTTGGCTTGCAGCCATTCAAACAGGCATTAACATTAAAATAATAATACGTTATTCTGCGAAGCAAACTTTATGAAGAGCCAGCTGGAGCCACAGTCCTCAGCTTAAGGAGCACTGGGAGAAAACCACCTTCGAGCTTTCAGGTTTCAAGCTCAGGTTGAGTACAGAAGTTATTAGCTGGAAGTGGGCTTCGGAGACCTGGACTAGCATCAGATGCCCGTACCAAAGTTTGTTGGTACAGCAGGACCCCAGCTGTGCTGTTCAGCTCCAGTTGCAGGACACGATGTGACAAGAAACCAGGACCAAAGCCTCCATCCAGCCCAGCGATGCTCCTATGTGCAGGGATCTAGCCCCTTCCTTCATGCCTGTGGCATGTTTACTAACATATGCTTTGCATCCACATTAAACGATAGGATTAACAAACAGCCTCATCAGGCAGCAAGTTCTTGGCCGTGGCTTTGACTACCTTGTTTGTGGGGGTGGGGAGGAGATCCTGGAAACACTTGCAGGGTTTTTTATCATCTGTTCTATCGGTCTCAGGTGACATCCTCCTGAATGTGAATGGGATTGACCTGACGGGAGTCGGCCGGAGCGAGGCCGTCGCCCTGCTGAAAAACACCAACTCATCAGTGGTGCTCAAGGCCCTGGAGATGAGAGCATGCGAAGCCCAGGAGGAGCAGGGCCACCTGCCACCCCATGAGGCCACGCAGGCGACCTGCGAGAGCAGCGAGTGGTCACCTTCCTGGGTTATGTGGCTGGGGCTGCCACGGTAAGTCCACAGATTGCATCCTCTTGCTGAAGGGGAGTGGGAGGAAAGATTTGTATTTTCTGGCAATCCTTTCTTTTGGCATGATTCATTGCACTGACATCTTAATTAAATCCAGGCACTGTCGCAGACTTGACTCTAAATACCTCCCTTTTGTAAATGGGTATGTATACATGGAAAAATAGACACGTAGATCCCCTTGCAAAGGAGGAAAGGATCCTGAATTGTTCCAGTCTTGAAAACATATCTGGCACTTAGGGAGTGAAAGGAAAAGCTTGCAGGGATACAGGAGCTTGCTGAACTGGGGTCTAGGCTTGACCACCCTGCAGAAGGCAGAGCTACCCCTCCTGCAGCTCTCAAGCTGCACAGCCCTTCTCCTTAGCCAAATCCAGCTGAACTGTTTGACTTTGCCCAGATGTTGCAAACTGCGTGCAGTTGGCCAGTATCTCCAAATCACCTCTTTTAACCCCACCCCCGACTGAAAGAAGTACATTTGTCGTACACAGGAAGCAGCTGTGTTGTCGTTTCAGTGAGGATAATAAAAGCCACGCTGCACGCCGTTAAGTTCCCTCGAACACACTCCGTGTGCAGGGTGTATACCTGTAGCTTCAGCGACATTTTGTAAAGTATTAAATGAGGACATGTTGTGGATCTGTGAATATGCAAAGCTAGCATCACACAGTTGAAATTGGTGTTCAATTTAAGGAATGAAGAATTTAACTTGCAAGTTACTTTTGCCCATACTCCTAACCCTGGCAGCAGTTCAGAGTTCCTCTTTCTATTTTATGGGAGGGCATCAAAAGATGGTCTGCAGTTGGGCTTTTGCTCTAGGCACAGTTTCCGGGCTCCTCTTTATTTCCCAGTCTCGCATAGCAGGTTAGATGCTTTCCCTCCTTCTGGCTTGAGCTGTTTTGAGCTCATTCACCTTGCAGCAAGGTCTGCTGTGAGGGCCAGTTGTGTTTCGGGGCTTGGTCTGAGACTAATGACTGTGTAATATGTGCTGAAGTACTGCAGGAGCAGAAGGCAGGCTGTGTGTCTGTCCCCCACAGATGAAAGGTTTGTGCCCCGGTGGAGAGGACTAGGTCCTTATTCCTGTGAAAGAAAAGCAGTAAAAAGAAAAAAGCAGTAAATGGATGGCCCATAACTTGCTACCCCAGGCGACGGTAAACTTTTCTCACCCAGTCTTGCTGCAGACAGGCAAGCCCAGGGAGGTCCTCATTCCTATGCACCCCTGAGCTTGACCAGCTACACACCAACATGAAGGCACTGGAGCACAGGTAACACTCCCAGCAGAAAGAGAGCAAGCAGGCTAGAGGTCTTATAGATGCTGCAATCTGCAATGCTGAGTCTTGCCTTTGATCACCATCCATTGCTAGATGGGCTGAAATAATTGCACCCTGCCTACACCTGGCCTAACCCCACCTTCACTGTGCTGTATAGAAAACCTGAGCTGCCTGGTCATCATCTTCTACCCACAGCTGCCTGAAGTCCCCATGTCCTCAGCAAGGTGACAGAGATGAAGGACAGAGATCCACAGTACTGCAGACTTGCACCCAGGTTTCACATCAGCCAGTTCTGCTTTGAAGTTTGGGAGGAAAAGGAGCTTTTTTTTCCCATTTTAAAAGCAGCCTCTAAGCTCACTCTATTCCCCGCCTCTGAAGGCTGTGTGTATGAAGCCATTCCCACCCCTTTGGTCTGAAGGAAAACCAGCGTCAGCAAGGCTGAAGACAGGAGTTCATTGTAACTCTATCCCCAGCTGCGACCCCATGCACAGAGCACAGCACAGCCCTTTGCGGGGATTGGTATGCTGAGCTGGTACACTGCTCTGAACATCAGACTAAGACAGGGACCAATGCTGATTAGACATCACAGTAACAAAGGTGCACTGCATCCTTATTAGTAGCTGGTTGGTTGAGTAAGGGTGCTAGGATCAGCTTTGGATTTGCTCGTTAGGTATTATCAGACCCTTCAGTCTTCCCCGGCATGAGTGTGCTTACCCTCTTACTCTTGTATTGATTCTCCAGGGCCCACACCAGACATCTGGAAGTCCTTCAACAAGTTCTTTCACCAGAACGTGTATCACATTAACTCATTTCCCTCCAGTCTGAGCATTTAGCTTTTCCCTATCTAGCTTTCAGTTTGCTTTTGGCAAGGATTACATCCCACTAGATCTCAAGGTATTGCAGCAGTCTCATGATGCTTTCTAGGCTGTTACAGAAAATTATTCTCTGTCCAAAGACATGTGTGACAGGTCCGTCTTGGTAAAGGTGTCTGATGTTCAGCTACAGGGCAAAATGGTGAAGAATCACCGACCTTAATTAGAGCTGTGATGACATTACTAAAGCCATACCATTTACCAGAGGGACTGCTCCAAGGCATGTAATTCTGAGAACGTTTGGTGCAGCTGATGGAAAAGTAGAAATGTCAATATCGCAACTATACAGGATCACACCAGGTATTTGGGAAGATGGGCAGGACAGGCAACACCTACATAAGGAAAACTGAATACATAGAAAAGGTGGTGACACTCGTAGGCCAGGAACAGGCACAATTAAAAAAAGAAAGAGGCGGCTGGACGGTGGATTCTTTAAATTCTGTCGAGAAGGGAAAGATGTGGCTCTAGGCAAGCCATGGTAGTGCAGCATGTGTTCACAGCAAGGAAGGTGGAGAGTGTAGAGGCAGCCTGACATCACGGCTTAGAGCAGGACACCTGGGCTCAGGAAACCAAGAGAGGTGTCTTTCCTTCCATGTTCAAAAACCATGGAGTTTGATGAAAACCCTGCAAAGGATGGTCCTATTAAATATGCTGAGTTGAGCTAAACACTAGATGATGTCTACAGACCTCTGTCCATGACTTATGAGGCAGAAAACAGGCAAACATTAATAATAGCTAAATGATTAAGTGTGCCTTCCTCACTTTTGAGCCTAGTGTACTGTAAATGCCTAATTCTCTGTACTAGCGCAGAACTTGCCCCCTTCCCAAGGACTGCATACACATTACAGCAATGAGCACAGACAAGAGGCACAAATATTGAGAGTTAGGGAATTACACTATTTTTTCTGGATCAAGTCAGCAGCAGCAGAAATCAGACAGGTTGTCTGACTCCTCACTCCAAAGCTCAAAGCCTTGGAAAAGCTGTCTTGCATAATTTAACATTTGTGGATGTCACTTAAATTTCGGTCCTTTTCTTGTGAGATCTTAAAATTGGCCTCGGTCACTTATATATGGCTTGATAGTACATAAACAACTCTTCTGTTCTTTCTGTAGTACGATCCAATATGCGGCGGTTATAAAATAGACGCATATGTGCATCTGACATCTGTCAAAACTTGGACCGCATCTGAGCAGAGGGGCTGCGGGCTGGGCGGGAGGAGGAAGCAATGATGCAGGACCTTAAGCATTC